CGTGGGGGGGGGGGGCGCTGTTGTTGCTGTCGAGCAGCAAGGGTGGGTTGTGCCTGTGCGTTCTTTTCTTAGGATCCAATACAATGTGTGCTTTAATTGGGCCACATGGGTTGCTGGGCTTAGCTAGTCTTTTTGGGCCAATGCGTAGCATTTCGGCGTATTCGGTCAGTTCAATCAACCCTGGATGGAAACCGAGATCACCGAATAAATTTCGGTTTTTCACACCTCAGGACCGTATAGAGCACCGAATTTTTGGTCCTCGGTCTATTCGGCTTCGGTGTCGGTTTTCGATCCTCGATTTTTTTGCCCACCCCTGCCACCGGCTAAGATGATTTGGACATATCCATCATAAGGTATTCTAAAGAGTAGCGAAAATACTAGGAGCGTCAGGGCGACCAAAGTTGACATGGGAGGAGGCGGTAAAAAGAGACCTGAAAGACTGGAAAGTACCCAGGGATTTGGCTCTTGATAGGGCTATTGATAAGACAGCATGGAAATCAGCAATCCATGTACCAGAACCTCAATTTACTTTCATTCACTTTGTTTTGTTAAGCTTCATGCACTAGCCAATGCAACCAAAAGTCCAAACTGATGGAAAGGACTAGGCAATCCACATATACACTTCAACACCCCCTCTCGCGTGTGACGACGGAAGTCAACACGTATATAGACTCAAAGGTATGGCGAACGCAGCCAAAAGTTGTTGTGTTGTTGTTGGCCAACAGTGTACCAAAACCTCTTGTTGTCCGAACTGATGGAAGGGCTAGGCAATCCACATACACACTTCAACAGCTTGTACTCTCTCTTTTTGGGGGCATTCTGACAGGTTCTATAGGGTTTCATCTCTAGCATACCCAACTTTCTTCGGACAAGAGGTTTTGTGTTGTTGTTGCTGTTGCTGTTGGTGCTGTTGTTGTTGTTGCTGTTGTATTTTACGTCTGCTTGTTGACTTCACAAGTTGCAAGGGTTCTTCATTATCTTGTTCATACAATAATTATGTCATGGATGGTAAGGAGTTCCCAATTATTTGTTGTTTAATGGCACTTGATCGATTTGTGCATTTTCTTCAAGTGTTTTCAGCGGAGCCCAAAGCCGGCGGTATCAAATAGGCGCCCAGGCTGTGATAGTAAAGATAGTCCGGTTGGTAAAGCAACTAGCGAAGACGTCTAATTAAAAGGTTGCAACGTCTAGCAAACATAAAATGTTGGCCAAACTGAACTTATTTCAATTATGAAACTCCTATTGCCATATGGACTGCACTCTTGATTTCCTGAACCTCTTCCGCACTTCCATAACTGCAGACTGTGGAGCTCTACTGTCTCGGCACACCATTGGCATCTCTCGCTTTCCGACAGCAAGAGTCCTACAGGCTTGCAACAACTCCTTGTCATTATCAAAGTTCTCCATCACGCCTCCTTTAGTATTTTGTGATGTCCCCCGATACGAGCTCATAACATATACAAACAGAATGACCATGACAATATACCAGCATGGTTTCATAGCCCACAGTGGTTTACATGCTTCTTAATGCTTTAAGAGACACACTAGCATACATATAAATAACTACTCCCTCTGTCCCAAAATTCGTGTCTTAGATTTGTCTAGATACGGATGTACGTACTGAGGGAGTATATTGGGACAGAGGGAGTATATTGTAGCGAACTGAGTGTAGCTCAGATGGTTAGGTCCCTTGTGGTGGAACCAACCCATCAGCATTCAAGTCCTAGACTTCGCAGTGGTGGTCGCAGTTTCCTGGATTTATTTCAGGCTTCCGACGATGTGCCTTCAGTGGGAGGAGACGTTCCCGTCGACTATGAAGGCATCTATGGCGACTTTGTCAATCTCAAGCTGATGGGTCGGCTCAGTCTCTCGAAGGTGCTCATCGGGGTAGGGTGTGCATGCGTTCATAGGGGTGAGTGTGTGTGCATATGTATGAGCGTCTGCGTCTGTACTGTGCTAAAAAAAACTATGCTGTACATGTATTTCTTCAAGAATGGGGGGAGGGGGTGTTCAAACTTGTAGTAATTACAGTGGAATTAAGCTGATGGACCATACAATTAAGCTATAGGAGAGCCATTGAGCACCGCTTAAGAAGAATGACAAGCGTCACAAACATTGGTTTGGTTTCATGCCCGGTAGGTCGACCATGAAAGCTATCTTCTAGGTAACTTATGGAGAGATGTAGGGAGCAAAACAAGGACCTGCATATGGTATTCATTGATTTGGAGAAGGCCTATGATAAGATATTGTGGAATACCATGTGGTGGGCCTTGGAGAAACACAAAGTCCCAACAAAGTACATTAACCTCATCAAGGACATGTACGATAATGTTGTCACAAGTATTCAAACAAGTGATGGCGACAACTTTCAAATTAAAATAGGACTTCACCAAGGGTCAGCTTTGAGCCCTTATCTTTTTGCTTTGCCGATTGATGAGGTCACAAGGGATATACAAGGAGATATCTCATGGTGTATGCTCTTTGCGGACGATGTCGTACTAGTCGAGGATAATCGGACGGGGATTAATAGAAAGTTAAAGAGTTGTGAAGCAGACTTTGGAATTGAAAGGTACTAAAGTTGCACCATGTAGTAATAGAGTTGCACCATATAGCACCAAATTTGGCATCAAAAATATTCCATCGAAACATACTCATGCGGGATGTAGTTTTAAAGATCTCATCGCGAGGATTCCAACGGTGAAAACGGATCTGAATTCCGACGCACGGTTTGAAAGATATGGATTTTAAAAAAAATGAAAACCCGAACAAATGCACGTACACATTCATCAGACATGGAATTGAAATGTGTTGTCAGTATGTGCCACGTCAGATGAATAAAGACAAATTTGGACCATGTGACTGCATGCATGCGTGTGTGAGGCGGCCGCTTGCTTCTCCCAAATCCTGCGCATGCACGATTAAGAATTTGGGTTTGATATTGGGGTCAATGCTGCAAAAGGATGGTGATATCCATGAAGATGTGAGCCATCGAATCAAAGCTGGATAGATGAAGTGGCGCCAAGCTTCTGGCGTACCCTGTGACAAGAGAGAGCCACAGAGGCTAAAATGCAGGTTCTATAGGACATTGATTCAACCTGTGATGTTGTATGGCATAGAATGCTGGCCAACTAAATGGCGACATGTTCAATAGTTAGGAGTAGCAGAGATGTGCATGCTGAGATGGATGTGTGACCACACAAGAAAGGATCGGGTCCAAAATGATGATATATATGGCTGGGGTAGCACTAATTGAAGAGAAGCTTGTCCGGTATCATCAGAGATGGTTTAGGCATATACAACACAGGCCTCCAGAAGTGTCCGTGCAAAGCGGAAGGATAAAGCATGTTGATGATGTCAAGAGAGGTCAGGATAGACCAAACTTGACACGGGAGGAGTTTGTTAAGAGACTTGAAGGACTGGAATATCACCAAATAACTAGCCATGGACATTTGTGCATGCAAGTTAGCTATCCAGGTGCGCGAACCATAACTAGGTTTCGAGATCTTATGGGTTTCAATTCTAGCCTATCCCAACTTGTTTGGGATTGAAAGGATTTGTTGTTGTATACATGTATTTCTTACACAATTTAACTTCAGTATATAGCAAGTTTTAACAACAGAACTTACTAGCCAACAAAATGTTGATCAATCATGGTTTCACTACTAGCCACTTACTGACGCAAGCAGTGTTAAAAAGGAACTGTAAATTGCAAACTGGAAGATAATTGTTTCAACAGTCATTCATGTATAGAAGTTGCAAAGATAGCCAGAAAGAATATTACGTTCACAGTTGCTGTAGCCATCTCCTTTAAATTGCACGCCATTGAATGTGGGGCATTCACACACTCTGCCACGAAAAGTGTCCTGGACAAGTATTGATCACAGCAAATTAAGAAAACCAGAGAATGTTTAAGAACATAAGACTGATGTCCAGTGAAAATCATCAACCTATACATACCCTACAAGCTGTTACATTAGCAGCGTTGTCTTGCCAGCAACCTCCATTATCGCTCAGACACTCGTTTGTTTCCATGTCTGTTAAAACAACTCAGGATTAGCACTCGATATTTTAATAACAGTTTTGCTAAAGCACATCTAGATGTGCCATAAGTATTGCACATCTAAGTCCTATATCATTGATCTTATGCGGAGATTCGTGTGAGTATTTTCTTTTTTTTCCTTTTTCTTTTTCTTTCTACACTTGCTTGTGTCACTTAGATGTGCAATAACTAGGGCACATCTAGATGTGCCCTAGACAAACCCTTTTAATAAACACAGGTACATAAGGAAAGGTGTAATGTCTTGTCCTTACCATCACTCAGACAAACATTTGGCTCAGTAGTTTCCTCAAAGCCAGCACAAATAGCTTTGAGGACAGCTTTCCTTCCTAGCTTTCCTGTTCCTTTCAAGACTAAAATCAGCTAGAGCAGGTGCAATTTGGTTACATCCTTACATTAGATCTTGTGGAACATTTACCTCGATATTGTCGATTGTTCACAACAAGAGTAGGCAATATGGTAACATCTCCTCTTGACCCTTTCCCAATCTATCTAACATCATAGATCATATTAAAACCCCAGGATACAAAAGTGTATTTAAGTTGATAAATTGAATTGATAATAGTCTACAGTGTTTCAGTTTTACTTATAAATTTCACTTGACTAACTCTATAAGGTCGGTTCACCTGAGAGTCCTGCTCCATTTTTAGTAAAGGGTGGTCAGAATCATCATTTGGATCTCCCATGCACTTATCAATCTTCTTCACTTCCAAACCTGTTGAAGTGTAAAATGAATATTACCTTCATGCTTAAATTAGTGATGCCACTTTAACTATCAGCAAGGTCTCCGATGTCATACAATGCCATTTCTACAGATTATGTACATACGCATGTGAATTCAAATGCATATGAACTTATGTACATTTCTTAAAAACATGAATGTGTTATGTTAATTGTAATAAAACAAGCACAATTAATTACAATGAACATGTTTATTGCTGAGTGAAGGTAAGTCTCAGAAAGAAAAGAGGAGCCAACCTAGTGATTTAATGACTGTTTCTGCGCACTTTTTGTTATACTTCTTCTCCTTCATTGGGCACCTTATGTGAAAATCAGTCACATAATCCCACCAGATCCATGGTTTTTTTATCTCATTTGCAACATTAAACACACAAAGCTGTCTCAAGTTCTCTACAACAACATCTTTTCCATCATAGCCAGTACTAAAATCTTGTTCTGGATCAGGTGCACAATACCTTCCATGGTTTATACACTGGGACTTGCATTGTTTGCTGACAACAAATGCTTGAGGGCAATACCAAGTAATATAATGGGGTGTGAACTGACTATAACCACCTTTTTCAAGTAACTGCGCAGCTCCCTTAAATTCCTTCAGAAAATGCATAAGCATATCACATTTAGGCCCACATTCATCATTGCTATTTGTCCACAACTCATACTCAACTCGGTTATCAGGATGTGGGACAGCCTCCCTCCAATCAAGATTCACGTTTACCATTTCACCATCTTTAACAGCCTTCTTCAATTGTTCTCCAAATTTCTTATCAATTAAAGCAGAAGGAATGGATATGTTCTGTATGTATTTTGCAGCCTCATCATCTTCCTGAAGTAAGTCCATTGTTATCAGTGGCTCATCCTTGTCATCAACTACAAGCACTGCTGAGGCACCAGCATATTGTGCATTCCAGACCTTCTTAGCAAACAAGCAATCTGGATAACATACATGGAGAAAACAACATTAGCCTTTTCTTTAAGTTGCTTAAGTGGCTAAACAAGATGAATACTCCCTTTTCAGTTTAGGGCATCTCCAATAGTTTGTACATAAGCATGTATGTATAGACATCCACATCATCAACCAACATTACAACATATTCTACTGCAATAGCTTGTATGTAACACTAACCCATACTTATATATTCTATATTATTTCTGCTCTTTCATGTTATAGTCTTCTCTCAACTTTTGCCTTGGCTTGCCTGTAGCTATGGTCATGAAGTTATACCAACAATGAACCAACTCTCTCCTAACTATTACTTCCCTCCATATAGGATTTAGCTGATGTGGCAAAAGCTAACTAACGATGACAAGACATTGTTGGAGATGCCCTAGAACCATCTCAGAAATCACTGTAACCAAGAAGGATCTAATAAAGTGGTGGGCCACATATTAATGCAGCATGGCCACTTCTCTCCTTCATAAACTGTCAAGATGGGAATGTGCCGGGTCGACCCGCTGGGTCACTGACGTGACCCAAAATGTCAAGGCCAATGGGCCAAGTGGGTTGGCCTTAAATTATACATGGGTCAGTGGAGCCGGCACCGTGCGACCCAATGGATCAGATGGGTCAACCCAGTCAATTCGCTATGCACTAGTTGCTGCTGGCCGCCCCCGAGCGTCTCTGCCGCCGGCCGCCCCGAGCATCTCTGCCGCCGCCAGTGTTCCTCCCGCTCCTGGTGCGCCTCTTGTTCGTCGTCTTGGTCACCATCGAGCTTGCCGTCCCGCTGCCCCAGCCGCCATCGAGCTCGCCATCCTAAATGCCGTTCTGTTCCTCTCGAACTTGGCAAGCTCGCTGTCTCAGTGGCCTTCCGAGTCTCCGGATTTTGCTCACTCTTCCCGGCTTCCTCTCCTTCCCAGCGCAGCTGCAAGCCAAGCATAGGCGAGACTACTACTGTTTTGGTTCTTGGTCAGTAAGTATATGTGTAGATTCTGTAGTAGGAGTTCCAGAGTTTCAGTAGGTACTTCGGTGCGTATAAGGATTCTGCACAGGTGAGACAACTATAGCTTCAGTGTAGATTTTGTAGTAGTTTCAAGTGTTGGTTCTGCAGTAATCCCGGTGCGTATATGTGTAGGAGTTTTTGACTCTTGTAGACTGCAGACATGGAATATTTAGGTTGACCTGTAGGAGTTCAGTAGTAGTCGGGAATATTTCAGTGTTGGAGTTTGGGTTGTCCTGTGCATACGTGACAATTTTTGTCAATCTTGATCTTCAAAGTAGGCTACACTGAAATATTCTTCTGTTCATAAATATGACAGTGTCTTCGGGGCAACAATTTGCTGAACTTTTGGGTCGGCCTCATGTACCCAACGGGTCAGTGAGGCCACAAATTTCTGATGAAATAGGTCGACCCGTGGCCTCATATATTGACCTTGGGGCCACTGGGCCAGGTCCGGGTCGGCCCATTTCCATCTTGAACAAACTGGTTGGTTCCACATCCAGGCTCTCCTGCCTGCGCAGTGAGAGGGTCAAAGGCTCATGTATCTTTCCCCTTTTGCCTCTAACTTACTCCATCGTGAGGGAAACTAGAAATACTCTTCCACCACCTCCTCTCTAGGGTTAGCTTAGAATAGAACTTTTTCCGGTAGAACTTAGCTCCACCTACCTCCCCTTGTGGGAACAAGGCCACCTCCCGGTGAAGACTCCGAGAAGTACAAGATTGTTAGCCTGAGCTGTGAGTGCTCGGGGCCGAACTACGAGTACTCGGGGCGCTGTAAGCAGCTAGAAAAGGAGTTATGGACTAGCGAGAGAGACACTTGATTTCTGCTGAGAGGAAGCTATATTATATTGCTGGCTCTTGGGTTATATTTATAGTACAAAGGGAGGGTCGGATCCTGATGTCTAAACCGACTATGTAGCTGCTAGTACATGCAAAACTACATGTCTAGATGCATTCACTTCCTTACTAACTAAGAAGGCTCTAGCCGACATGACTATTGCTTCCTAGCTACTCCCTCCGTTCCAAAATAGATGACCCAACTTTATACTAACTTTGTACTAAAGTTAGTACAAAGTTGAGTCATCTATTTTGGAACGAAGGGAGTAAGTAATATCTAAGTCCGCTATCTGCAGACAGTGGTGGAGCCCACAATCTCCCCCTCAACCCTGTCGGAGGGACTTGATGTCAGACGATCCTGACCTTGCCGCGCAGGTCCTGGAAGCGTACACGACCAAGAGGCTTTGTCAGAATGTCCGCCTTTTGCTCGCTGGTTCCAATGAACTCCACAGCCACCATGCCCTTCTCGACACACAGTCCCGTATGAAGTGGTAGCATCAATGTGCTTGCTGTGGTCGTGAAGTACCGGATTTTTGCACAGCGAGATGGCGGACTTGTTGTCAACGTAGAGGATCGCAGGGGCAGCATCTCGCTTTAGTAGCTCGCCGAGAAGACAAGCCAACCAGATCCCTTGGCACGCCGCTGTCGCCGCTGCAATGTACACGGCTTCGCACGAAGAGGTGGCGACGACCTTCTGCTTATGTGATTTCCAGCTCATTGGACTGCTCCCGAGGGAAAACAGCACGCCTGAGGTGCTTTCTGGAGTCCACGTCACCGGCGTGGTCCGAGTCACTGTAGCCGACAAAGGTCTCGCCGTCTCCACGGTGATACACGCATCCTGTTGAGGGTACTTCTGCCAAAGAGAAACCAGCAAGAAAGACAACACACCACCTTCCCCTGTTGATGGACAGAACAGTCAACAGTGTTAATATGGGCACCCCTCTGAATAACCTTCCTATGATTGCACCTTGTCAGCCCTATATCCTTAATACAATACACCAGTGAGAAATGCTAGGTTGTAGGACAGTCAGGGCAGGGAACTGAACCTGGATGAAACTCCAAATCTTCCTTACAGACATCCCAATTATGGTAGCCATCAAGGACAAACCAAAACAAACCTGAACAACAGAACTTGCAGCCTCAGCAACAGCAAGTTGCAGTTCAGACTGTTCAGGTGCATGAGCAGTTTCAAGAAGAGCAGGTGGACTGGGAACAAGCCAGACATGCTAGTAGGCAAAGGGCCACAGCAAGACCCCAGAAGAGCTCCTGGTGCTTTTAAACCTACTAAAGTAAATATTCCTGTGTACAAGCTATGGAGCAATACTTTGAAAATGCTAGAATTCCATTGTTCCAGACAACTGAAGTTGCAATTACTTATTTCACTGCTGATGCAGTGCATTGGTGGAGAGGAACTGGTTATACTGCTCATGCAGTGCAATGACACGGGTTGTGCAGGTTTTTAGGAGACAAATTCTCTGAATTTTCAGTCTATGAAAATGTCAAGACATTGCATGCCCTAGCGGAAATCTCATATGCGGCTCAATATATAAAGCAATTTGAGACCCAAATGAATATCATGAAAGGGACAATCCAGCAATACCCAATGAGTATTTCATGAACAGTTTCATTGCTGGTTTAAAGGATTGCATACAAGGCCACTTGCAATGCCACAAGCCCACTGACATACAAAATGCAATGTGGTTAGCAAGAAGATTGGAACACCCCTAACAGGTGCAAAGGCCATCCTTTCTTTACCAACAACCGAGTGCCAAAAGACAGGTAGCATTTGATGCAAATGAATTACCAACACCTGCTGTTGCAACACCTGCTGCAATTATACAGCAAGCAAGAATTAAAGGAATTTGCAAGAAATGCTTTCCTGGACATAAAAAAGTTTGCAAGTATTCCCAGCAAGCACAAATTCATGTTTTATAAGCTCAATTCCCTAAAGATGCTGATATTATTCATCTGACAGATTATGAGGAAGAAACTGAGGAAGGAACACCTGGGAACAATGAACAGGGACTGCAAATCTCAATGCATGCTCTAATGGGAATCAAGGCCAAGAAATGTATTTTCTGTAGCTGTGAAAAATGGGAAAGCAACAACCATGGCCCTAATAGATAGTGGGAGTACTGCCACATTTATCGCCCCACAATTTGCTGAATTAGCAGCATGTCCTTTGACATCAACTACCAAAGTCAGATTTATGGTAGCTAATGGACAAAAATAATGGTCTGAATTTATTTCACGTCAGTGTCCTTATGAAATTCAGTAAGAAAAGTTTTGCTTAGGTTTCAGAGTATTAAGCTTACAAGGCTATGATGTAATCTTGGAGCTGACTGGATATATGACCATAGTCCAGTGCAATTAGAATCAAAGAACATGCAGATTAAAGCTACTCTTGCTGATGACAGGATTGTTCCATGATTAGAGCTTGCCATTGTCAAAAGACATTCAGCAAGCATGTGAATAAACTGATCCGACAGTCAGTTTGTGGAATAGTGCTCCTCATCCAACTTGCCCTGGAACAGGCAACTAAAAACCCTGAACTACCTGAAGCAATTAAGGTTGTACTACTGGAACTTGCTGATATATTTCAGGAACCAAATGAGCTACATCCCAAAAGAGCTTTTGATCATAATATATCATTACTACCAAAAATGCCAAGATCATTAACCAGAGAGCATATATACTTCCTCATCATCAGAAAATATCATGGAAAGTAAAAGGGCAGCCCGGTGCACGTAGCTCCCACTTGCGCAGGGTCCGGGGAAGGGTCTGACCACTTTGGGTCTTCTGTACGCAGCCTTTCCCTGCATTTTTGCAAGAGGCTGTTTCCAGGACTCGGACCCATGACCTCATGGTCACAAGGCAACAGCTTTACCGCTGCGCCAAGGCTCCCCTTCAGAAAATATCATGGACGTATTGTTGCTAATTTGCTCAAGAAAGTTGTTATCTGAGAAAGTGCCAACCCTTATTCCTCTCCTGCTTTATTAGTAAGGAAAAAGGAGTGCACTTGGAGATTATGCAATGACTAGGAAATTATATGCTCAGACTGTTAAAAGCAAATATCGTATTCCAATTGTTGAGGGTCTACTGGATGAATTACATGGTTTTACCATTTTCCCCAAGACCAGATAAGCATGCAAGGAGAGGTAGCAACACAATGGTCACTTTGAGTATTTAGTTATGACATTTGGTTTAACTAATGTTCCTGCTACTTTCAAAACTCATGAACTATGTCTTATCTCCTGTTTTGAGGCAATTTATGCTAGTCATTTTTTATGACATCCATTTCCAATAATTTCATCATCTTACATGACAACAAAATGTCCCTACCAATTTATAGAAGTGTGCCACAACATGCACTTATTCACAACCAATTGTATATATCAGTCAATACTCTTTGTGTCGCACACCAAATGCCCACAAAACTGAATTCGTTATTATCTACAGTATGGCGATTCGGCCCGCAATGTTGTATGGCGCTGAGTGTTGGCCGACTAAAAGGCAACATGTTCAATAGTTAGGTGTGGCGGAGATGCGCATGTTGAGATGGATGTGTGGCCACACAAGGAAGAACCGGGCCCGGAATGATGATATACGAGATAGAGTTGGGGTGGCACCGATTGAAGAGAAGCTTGTCCAACATCATCTGAGATGGTTTGGGCATATTTAGCGCAGGCCTCCAGAAGCTCCAGTGCATAGTGGATGGCTAAAGCGTGCTGATAATGTCAAGAGTGCTCGTGGTAGACCGAACTTGACATGGGAGGAGTCCATAAAGAAAGATCTAAATGACTGGAGTATCACCAATGAACTAGCCATGGACAGGGGTGCGTGAAATCTTGCTATCCATGTGCCAGAACCATGAGTTGGTTGCGAGGTTCTTATGGGTTTCAGCTCTAGCCTACCCCAACTTGTTTGTTGTATGGCGATTTTAGCCGAAAAGGCCACTCTAGCAGAGTCGCCATCGGGCCCCTGATCGCCATTATTTATGGAGGGGACTCCATATGGAGCCTGCAAGCCTCCATATTTGGAGGTTGTGGGGCTCCGGTTTGGAGGTTGCTCCATCCGCCAACTGCTCGCACGGGAGGGCAGTTTCACCTCCCTCATCAGCCTACTGTGCGGCCCATCTCCTCTCCCTGCCAATTAATGGCGGTCACCCGCGTGCCAACTGCCCGCGGCCATTCCCACCACATTTTTCTGCTGCCTTTTTCCTGCAGCGTGCCACGTTTTGCTGCCGCCCGCGCCTACAAAATGGCCATCGCCATGTCCGAATAGCTCATATTGCCGCCACCCATAGCCTTTACTTCCCTCCGTTCCGCCCGCAGCCTCCACTTCCCTTCCCGTGGCCGGACTGGGTGCCACTCTCAAAGGAGGAGAGGCGTCCGCTCTCATCGCCGAGGAAGAGGAGGAGAGGGATCAACGGCATTGTTCAAAATTATGCTAACCATTAGGTGGGATATCCATGTGGATGTTTGCCTTAATGCTCAGTATAATTTCGAGCATTGTCGACAGAATCGAGTCGCCGCCGCCGAAATCATCCTCACCCTCACCGTCGTGCTCGTGGCCGTGATCGTGATCTGCGACCATGATCGTGCCATGGGCGCCGCCGGCCTGTTGATGATGTCAGTGAAGCAAAATAGAAGCTTACAAATTGGACAATAAGTATGTGGTCAATGGCATATGGGTCTCATATGTACCAAAATTACGAAGGCTGGGATATGGCTGGCTCTGACTTTGCACGGCGCATGTTCAGCCTCCAAAAGTATAATGTGTGGTGTGTGCAATACAGCGACTGCAAATATGATGACTCTGCTAGAGTTGCTCTAAAGCAGCTCACACTGCCGAGTCCTGCAAATATCAGCGGATCCACCAGAACCGCAAGCGAACCACATAACATCGCAAAACTGCGGAGCAACGGTGACAGAGATTAAAATCAGGAGAAGGCATCACTCACTTCCGCGGTCTATGAGAAGGAAGCTGGGGAGCGCTCCAGGCTTGGTGCGGAAGAGGTGCTCCTTCCTGCCGCTGTTGAAGGCCTCGCAGGCGTCTGAGTTGCCCTTGGGATAGACGACGGCACCAGCCATGCTCCCGCCGTACTGCGGGATGCCGAAGTTGCCTATGGCGCTATCGTGCCGCCCCCGCAGAGCTGTCGGCGACGTGACCATCAGGCTGTTCTTCTCCACCACAAACCGCGCCTCCAGCTCCACCGCCGCCGCGAACGCCAGCAGCAGCAGCAGCAGCCACCTAAACCCTAGCCCCCACATCGCGCTCGTGTTCAACTGCTGTGGTGGCGGCGGGGAGCGAGGGGACGAGAGTTCAGATCAGAAGCGGAACTGGACTGCCGAGATTATTGGGGCGATTTGCCGGTTTCTGTCTCTCTCGTGTCCACGGCTCGCGTGTTGAAGTGCGATTGAGATTGGTGTGTGACGCTGTCAACTGACTTCGTTGAAGAAGGTTCGTGGACCAGGTGCATCGAGCAGCTGTATATCGTATAAATCTGTCCCGCAAAATCCTGCAAAATTGTTAGGCTTTTCCAGTACTTCACGGTGTACAGATGCTAAAAATGTCACATAGGTAAAAAAATAATGTGATAAAGCAACTAAAGAAGAAAAGGAACATTATGGTGATCCCGAAAGGAAACGGTACTAAGCACATGGATCTGTGCAAAATGACTATCCATCAATACATGAAAGAATTTAATTGTTAAACAATTCAATAAGGGAAACTTAGCTACAAAACCAAAAACACATATGCATTGGGAGACTACTTATAAGTGCATCAAGTGCCCCTTTGGTGGTTATAAAGATGTTCTACAGGTGTCTCCAATGATGTTTGTTGAGTTGGTAGATCGAAATTAGGATTTGTCACTCCGATTGTCGGAGAGGTATCTCTGGGCCCTCTCGGTAATGCACATCACTATAAGCCTTCCAAGCAATGTGGCTAATGAGTTAGTTGCGGGATGATGCATTACGGGACGAGTAAAGAGACTTGCCGGTAACGAGATTGAACTAGGTATTGAGATACCGACGATCGAATCTCGGGCAAGTAACATACCAATGACAAAGGGAACAACGTATGTTGTTATGCGGTTCAACCGATAAAGATCTTCGTAGAATATGTAGGAACCAATATGAGCATCCAGGTTCCGCTATTGGTTATTGACTGTAAGTGAGTCTCGGTCATGTCTACACAGTTCTTGAACCTGTAGGGTCCGCACGCTTAACGTTCGATGACGATCGGTATTATGAGTTTATGTGTTTTGATATACGGAAGATAGTTCGGAGTCCCGGATAGAATCACGGACATGACAATGAGTCTCAAAATGGTCGAGACATAAAGATTGATATATCGGACGGCTATATTCGGACATTGAAAGTGTTCCGGATGATTTCGGAGAAAACCGGAGTGCCGGAGGGTTACCGAACCCCGCCCCCCCCCCCTCGGAGAACTAGTGGGCCTAGATGGGCCTTAGTGGAGAGAGAGAGGGGCTGTCAGGGCAGGCCGCGCGCCCCCTCCCCCTTGAGTCCGAATTGGACTAGGAGGGGGTGGCGCCCCCCCCTTTCCTTCCCCTCTCAGGAGGAGGATTCCTCCCCTCCTTGGCGCGCCCTAGGGCCGGCCGGCCTCCCCTTGCTCCTTTATATACGGGGGCAGGGGCACCCTAGAATACACAACAGACAACTGTCTTAGCCGTGTGCGGTGCCCCCTCCATCATAATCCACCTCGGTCATATCGTTGTAGTGCTTAGGCGAAGTCATGCGCCGGTAACTTCATCATCACCGTCATCATGTCGTCGTGCTGACAAAGCTCTCTCTCGACATTCAGCTGGATCAAGAGTTCGTGGGGCGTCATCGAGCCGAACGTGTGCAAATCGCGGAGGTGTCGTACTTTCGGTACTAGGATCCATCGGATTGTTAAGACGTACGACTACTGTAAGTGCATCTAGTGCCACCCCTAGTTGGTTTTGGAGTATTGACGACAAACCTAGTTGAGGGACTAATGTGTTTGTGAGAATTGCAGGATAACACATGTAGAAGTCCCTCATTGATTCGGTTTTCCTACCAGAGATGACCCCTAAAAATGTATGAAGACATTGAAGTCACAGGTGGTATGTGAAGACATTCACATTGAAGACTATGATAAGAGAAGACATCGAAGACTATGGAGCGCGAAGACTTAGCAGCTTCGTCGTTCTGTGTTTTTCTTTGTTAAGTCATAGGAACCACCGTACTGTTAAGTGGGGTCCAAGAGAACCAGTCAGAATGACTGAAGTGATGCTTAACCAAAATCCTATGTCTTCGAGTGAAGACTATGAGAGCAAATCTTGTCCAGAGTTGGATAAGTCAGCTTTGCTTGTAGTCCAAGTAAAGTTGCCGTGTGTGTTTGAAATCTGACCGTCGGAACACGTGTCAGTTCCTTAGTGACCAAGGTGTTGGAAATATGCCCTAGAGGCAATAATAAAAGCATTATTATTATATTTCCTTGTTCATGATAATTGTCTTTATTCATGCTATAATTGTGTTATCTGGAAATCGTAATACATGTGTGAATAATAGACACCAACATGTCCCTAGTAAGCCTCTAGTTGACTAGCTCGTTGATCAACAGATAGTCATGGTTTCCTGACTATGGACATTGGATGTCATTGATAACGGGATCACATCATTAGGAGAATGATGTGATGGACAAGACCCAATCCTAAACATAGCACAAGATCGTATAGTTCGTTTGCTAGAGTTTTCCAATGTCAAGTATCTTTTCCTTAGACCATGAGATCGTGTAACTCCCGGATACCGTAGGAGTGCTTTGGGTGTACCAAACGTCACAACGTAACTGGGTGACTATAAAGGTATACTACGGGTATCTCCGAAAGTGACTGTTGGGTTGACACCTATCCCCCTAACTGCACTGTAGGGTACGACACCAGCTGCTTCAGAATGGCTTATTGATAGTGGGTGTACTAATCACATGACTGGCAAGCGAAGCCTTCTCATGGACTCAACCTTACGTCCATCTGACAAAAGTCACATCACATTTGCTGACACTGGTAAAAGCAAGGTATTGGGTCTAGGTAGAGTTGCAATCTCAAAGGATCAACACATGGATAAAGTCATGCTTGTTGAATCCCTTGGTTTCAACTTAATGTCTGTCTCAATACTTTGCGATTTAAACATGATTGTGATGTTTGGAAAATATCGTTGCCTTGTTCTAATGGAATCTGACAAGTCTCTAGTGTTTGAAGGGTATCGGAAAGATGATTTGTACGTGGTAGATTTCTCAGCAGGACCACAACTTGCCGTATGTCTTCTAGCAAAAGCTTCAGAATGCTGGCTCTGGCATCGGAGGCTAGGGCATGCTGGCATGAGCAACCTCCACACCCTTGCAAGGAAGAAGCATGTCATAGGCATCGAGGGCGTCAAGTTCAAGAAGGATCACTTATGCGGTGCCTGTGAAGCAGGAAAGATGACGAGGGCCAAGCATCCCTTGAAGACAATCCTGACAACGACTCAACCCTTCGAACTGCTCCACATGGACCTTTTTGGTCCCACTCATTACTCAACTCTTACTACTACTGCTTGTCTCTATGGCTTTGTCATTATTGATGATTATTCAAGATATACTTGGGTGCATATAATCCTCTACAAGGCTGAAGTGCAGGATGTCTTCAGACGCTTCGCCAATCGAGCCATGAACAACTATGGCGTCAAGATCAAGCACATCAGAAGTGAAAATGGCACTGAATTCAAGAACACTGGTCTAGACACTTATCTTGATACTTTGGGCATTACACATGAATTCTCAGCTCCGTACACACCGCAGCAGAATGGCGTTGTGGAATGCAAGAACAGAACACTTATTGAGATGGCCCGGATGATGCTTGATGAATACAAGACTTCAAGAAAGTTCTGGCCTGAAGCCATTGATACTGCATGCCATATCATCAACCGTGTTTATCTTCACAAACTTCTCAACAAGACATCCTATGAGCTCCTTACTGGCAAGAAGCCAAATGTCAGTTACTTCAGAGTATTTGGTGCCAGGTGCTGGATCAAGGATCCACATCACACTTCAAAATTTGCACCAAAAGCACATGAAGGTTTTATGCTTGGATATGGAAAGGATTCGCACTCCTACAGAGTCTTCAACCTTTTTCACTATAAAGTGGTTGAAACAGTGGATGTGTGGTTCTATGAGACTAACGGCTCACAAAGAGAGCACCTGCCAAACGTGCTAGATGAAGTTCCATCCAGTGAATCAATCAAACTTATGGGAACTGGAGAAATCATACCATCTGAATCTCAGCCTGAAGAGGAACTTATCATCTCTGCACCTGATCAAACTGAAGACAATGCTCAGCCTGAAGACAATCCTTCTAACGATGACAATGATCAGCAAGAGCAAAATCTTCGTCCTGTACATCCTTGTGTTGCAAATGAAGTACAGATTGAGAGAATAATTGATAGCATCAATGCACCAGGTCCACTCACTCGTTCGAGGGCAACACAGCTAGCAAATTTCTGTGGGCACTTCGCATTCGTCTCAATATCTGAACCCAAGAAAGTTGAAGAAGCCTTCATGGAGAATGGATTCAAGCTATGCAAGAAGAGCTTCAACAGTTTGAGCTGAATAATGTATGGGAACTGGTTAAGCGTCCTAATCCTCGCAAGCACAATATAATAGGCACCAAATGGATATATTGCATCAAGCAAGATGAGCATGGTCAAGTTATCAGAAACAAAGCTCGTCTCGTTGCTCAAGGGTACACTCAAGTTGAAGGGATTGACTTCGATGAAACATTTGCTCCTGTGGCTAGACTTGAAGCCGTACGCATACTACTGGCCTATGCAAATCATCATAACATTCTTCTGTATCAAATGGATGTGAAGAGCGCTTTTCTCAATGGCAAGATTGAAGAAGAAGTGTATGTTGCACAACCGCCTGGCTTTGAAGATCCAAAACATTCTGACATGGTCTACAAGCTCAACAAGGAACTGTATGGCCTCAAACAAGCCCCTCGGGCTTGGTATGACACACTCAAAGACTTCCTGAAGAGCAAAGGCTTCAAACCTGGTTCCCTCGACCCCACTCTCTTCACGAAGACATATGATGGTGAACTGTTTGTGTGCCAAATATATGTGGATGACATTATCTTCGGCTGCACCAATCAAAAATACAGTGAAGAGTTTGGATATATGATGCAAGAGCAATATCAGATGTCCATGGTGGGTGAGCTGAAGTTCTTCCTTGGTCTTCAAATACGTCAGCA